TGTCCAATCATGAAAGTGAATCCGCTGGATACGCAGTGCAACACAGGCAACATTGTGATTGTGAATGTATATGTGAAGAATATAGTTTGGCGGTTTTAAACGGTATTTAAAATCAAATATTAGAGATCTGTCTCTTATACACTGAAAGGCACATCCACGTTTCAGGTTAGTGTAAAACATATTACTATACAGCCATGTTTACAAAGTCTATTACTAAAAAGACTTGGAAATATCATCCCCAAGAATATCAAAATTCTTCAGGCCAAAAATACTTTGAATTCACACAGACCCGACCGACGCAGCGATAAATTGAATCAGGCTGAGTCGGCCGACGCTGTCTGAGCTGGCCTAACAAGACTTCATTCCTGTCCGTCTTTTCGTGTGTGGGACACAGCATCGCGTGATCACTGATTTTTAATTTATAAGGGTAGGCTCTTTTCTGATTGGCTAATCTGTTAGAACATTTAATTAAGCTCACTAGCTGAGATTGGCCTTGGGCCTATCGCAACCAGGTTTTGTCGGGTCTTTCTTGATGTGTGATAAGACAATTAGTAAATAGTTTATTAATTGCTGATGATTAACCGACAAGTAGATAAGAAAACACTATAATCCTGATAAAAAACGAGCTCTAATTAGGACTAACGAGCACGTTTTTTAACGAGCTCTATAGACCTCGATTTTGCACGCTCCACTAACCAAAGGGCAAGCCAATCCCATAGATCTCTCATTACACAAGTAACTTCCTTATTCCTATCTCGCTCTTTACATATTGAGACAAGCCATCAACAAAAAAATAAAAGCTGAAATAAAATAGTTCTAGGACTGAATCAACTAAGATTTTTTTCAATCATATAGTGGTGTAGACTAGTTTTTTAAGAACATTTTGCAGGAAAAAATTTTTGTTTACGACGCCCTGTTATGAAGTTATGAATTTTTAAATAACATGATGTCAGAAAATCAGCCCAAAAGCTTATCTTACTTCTGTTGGTTATGCACCGCTGATTCGCAATGTTTCTCATCACTTCAAGATGTCTACCGATTCATGAAAAAGGCCTATAGATATCTAGACTAACTTTTGGCTCTAAACAGGAATATGACTTTTGGTATACTGATTTATAAAGACCAGAATTCATTTTTTCGCGCAATTTTTCTTCCATTTTAGACCCTATTGAAATAACCAAATCAGTTAATAAATGGTGTTTATGCAACAAATTATTAATATATAGTTGGAAATGTTTCACCACAAATAATTCCGGATTTTATACTTACCATTTTATTGAGTACAGTAATTGTAGGTCAGAAGTTCATCCAGAACAAAAAATACACAAAAAAGTCTTGTTTACATGAAGACCTTTGACCCTGTGGGCAAATACCCTTGTCGTTAAATCTCGCATCATGAATTAAATTTAATATAATGATCATGTGTTCCAAATATCAGTTTGTTGTCTTTATTCCTTCATGTTAAAAAAGTGATTTGAAAAGGGGTATATATTTCAATTTGTGACATATGAGTGCATAAATGTAAATTAAAAACAACCTGCCTAGACCCTTGAAACTTGTAATTCTAAGAAAACTTTATGTGCGTATTTCAGGCATGCAGTTTGTTAAGGGATACAGTTTTTAATTAAGATATTGTCCCCTCAAAAATGGCCTAGTGAGTTTAAGAAAATCAGACGATACCCAGCCAAGATTTTCAGAAAATTTGTTTAGTTGGCATGGAATAACCCAAAAGAGGAATAAATCCCTATTGTTAGGAATCTAAGTTAATGTACTAAATACAGTATATAGAAAATAATTTTGTTTTAAAGTTATATAAGAAATAGCCATAAAAATTAGTTGATACTGAATCATTTAACCGTGCCTTGGCTTATTTGTAATTTTATTTATTAAAAACTCTCCAATAAAATTTGTACAAAAAAAGAGAGCAGGGGGACTGCACAAAGAGGTGTTTAACATTTATACCAGGCCTAGCTAGGCTTAAATACAATAAGATGTTTAGCACATATATTCTAGCCTAGCCAAATATTACTCCAGCATAGGCTAGGCCATGTAAGAAAAAAAGTTGTTGATCATGCACTCCCTACAGGTAGTTCACCTGACCATTTTATTTTTTCTTTTAACAAAAATCGTCTTTCTGCCCAGAATAGGCTAGGCCTAAGCTTTCTTTGCATAATTATTTTGCATTTTAATTGTTTGTTTACATAAATCCCTCCTGATCAAAGATCCGAGAAAGTCAGCCACAATTTACACGACAATTCAAGTCTTCGCATGCAATGGAGTGGCTTCATTAATGATCTAAAAAGAAAAAAAATCCACCCTACCGACTTTTTTCTTTAAATTAAAGGATATCAGCTTTTTTTTTTACATGGCCTTATTAGGCATAAAAACGTTTAGCCTGAATTTGAATTTACAAGTACGCTTAAGATAGGCACATCATATGCTAATATTTTGTTAAGAAAGATCAATCTAGGCATACCCAAAATAGTCGGTCCAATAAATAGTCTAGCAAGGGAAGGCCTAGCCTGCTTTTACACCCAGACCTACCGAATACTGTAGGCCCTACAGCACAGTATTCGATGATATAGTAGGTAGGCCTAGGCTAACCTATTATATTATATATATATACAGTGGTATAAATTATAGGCCGGCTGGATCTAGGCCTACTAGGGCCTAGGACTCTAGGCAGAGCGCGACAGCAGCTAGGCCTAGGTTAGCTTGTAAATGCTAATTTACCAGATCTTTAATAATCTATAATTTCTACTGTATTACGAAGTAAAGGTATTAAATAAAAATAAAGTTGTTCTTTTATTTAAAACTTACCTAGACCTTTGTCGGTGAAGACTGGTTGGACTGTTTACGTCCACCACAACATCAAATTCTTCATTCCAACATCAAATGAAACTCGGCAAGTGTCTACGTCTATACTGGCTACTCAACCGTTCTCCCAGGGACCTATCTCGTCTATGGCTTGTACACGCAAACCTACTGAGAATTCCATCTTAACCCCTAATTTTAGTTAAAATCCAGAACATTTTTTCGTGACGTTTATCCGACGACGAACCAACCTACGCTAATTGTGGAAGTCAAGTGCGAAACACATGGCTTTCTTCGCAGCTGCGGTTGAAATGACGCGCTCAACCTTTTCACAGCTACCACACCAACCGCTAACAGAAATACGTCCCTTAAAAGTTTCAAATAAATATTCAAAATCTCAAAATAACATAACTATTATTATTATTATTATTATTATTATTCTTATATCAGTACAATAATATTTACTAAAATGTACACTTTTATTGATTTTTTGTAAAAAAAAAAAAAAACTGGCGGAATAATATAGATCGTTTATTTGTTAGTAAGAAGAGCGCCACCAAGTGGCACGGTACAACACGATCTGCGTGAAGGCAATGCACCATAAATCACGACAGACGACAGATTATTACGTAGTGTTACGTCGCAAAGCAATTAAATCTGCGATAAGATCTGCTAATCCTTACCCGACTAAAGTCTTTTATTTTACTACAATTTTACTCGGGTGTAGATTGTCAACCTCCCTAATGGAGAAGTACACCTAATGTGTGCAGTTAAGATTCATTAGCATCTGGAATCTTAACCCACCTTGTACAACATTCAACAAATTTTTTGAAACTAGTAGAACTCTGAATAATGTCAGTTGCCTATCTGTAGAATATACATGCATACAACAAAATTTTGGAGTAATTTTACTCGCACGTTTGGTTGTGGTGGACGGTAAGTGTTTATTGCTATTAAATTCGCGAACAAGCCTGGTCATGACGAAATCTCATTGGCTGATGACGATGTATAAACAATTATTTTTCTACTCGAAATGTTGATTTTTTATTTGAATTATATGTTCACGTGCATAAATATGCCCTGGCAACATTGTGTATCTGTTTTAGAAAGGGTCACCTACTGTAACACATTGAAAGAAACAAAGCCTCATCCTATGGTCTAATTGTATACCTTTACTACTATAGATAAAGGAATAATCACAAAATTTTGAAAATGAAAAAGGAAGGATTTGTATTTCAAAAATATATAGTATGGAGTTAATGTTAGGCACTAGTCCTAAACCCTGTAGGCAGAATGATTTAATAAATATTTTTTTTTATTCCACATCTCTCTATGAAATGGACAATTCCAGTTGTTTCTGTGATCACATTAACAATTTCACCAACATAAGTCATCATCATAATATATAGCAACCATCGTTCCCTGTTTTCTGAATTTGAAGTTCTGCGTTGTCGTGTTGAGGGCACTTCTCCAGAGTCTTCCTCTTCACAGTCAGCTGCATGAAGAAAAAAAAGAAAAGAAAAGTTAAATCATAGGAATTAAAATAGAATCTAAATTATGTAATGCCATGAACACAAATGTTGCTGTTTTTGATGATTTTTGTTGTGGTTGTTCAAACTTTACTGCTACATAGTCTACTGCACCAACAGTAGTTTCATTGTCTGCACCAGTCGTAGTTTCATGTTGATGGATTATCTTCCAAATCGTTGACGGACATTTCCCGGGTTGATGTAATAGAGCTGTTTAAAAAAGTACATTTTTCATGAAAATGTAAACAATGTATTTGTCAGATTAAAATAATAAAACTTGTACAGGGGTAACCCACTTTATAATTGCTGATGAGCATGCATAATAATAATAGGTAGACTTATACACAAAGGTCTGTAAGCGCTCGACACAGTTAACATCGGTTAAGTCTTGATTATTTCCAGGATCCGATGTTTTACTGTAGGCACACCTTTGGCACACTCTCCTTCATTTC